GGCCATGGGCACAGCGAGGAAATCGGACTTGAGAAATGAGGCACTAGCTCTAAAATCAGCAACACAAAGAGCAGAGACACGGCCCCAAAGGAGAGGAAGATTGTATTGTATTTATTTTTTAATATATATTTTTAATGTTTATTTATTTTTGAGGGAGAGAAAGATAGAGCATGAGCAGGGGAGGGGCAGAGAGAGGGGGAGACACAGAATCCAAAGCAGGCGCCAGGCTCCGAGCTGTCAGCACAGAGCCCGACACAGGGCCTGAACTCACAAACTGTGAGATCATGACCTGAGCCAAAATCTGATGCTTAACTGACTGAGCCACCCAGGCACTCCGAGAGGAAGATTTTAGAACAGGAAGGGCAGAAGCAGAAAATATTATAAGGAGGATGGTCTTGGGTCAAGACTAAATGAAACATTTATTGATTTAAGAAAGAAAGAAAATCTGCTAGACCTTAGTTATTAATATTGTATTTAAAAGGATCTATTTTTTATACTATAAATTATAAAGGACCCACAAGTAGCTAACTGTAAATCTACATGGAGGAAAGGTCTTACTGACAATTCCCAGACCGTGGAACTGTTATTAGAACAGACTGGTCACATACGGGACCTGAATGACAGGGCTATGTGACAATGGACATCTTCGGGCCACTGGACCCTCATCTCAAATATGCTGGCCTCATTCTGCTTATGTCAATTTGTAAAGTAACTGCACTCTTCCTATCTTTTATCGGGGGCTACGTATAAGGGTTCTAACATAACACCAATAATGAATACAAGGTTGGTTCTAGGCTGTTCTGAGGAAGGCAGCCAAACCAGAAAGGATGTGTGTGCAGATTCTATGCTCCAGCAGAGGGCAGTCCCACACAAAAATCACTCTCCAGGAAAAACTGACGTCTGTTACTGCAAATTTCCCATGTTACTGAGTAAATGTTATTCAGCGTCACCACAATGGGCGACTTGTCCATACGGGGTATCCTGAAATATCGGTGGGCAATCCTGGCAAACAACTGAAGCCCTAACCATTTTAAATCTTAAAAATTTTAAGGAAAGCGTGCCTATGTGAGCCTCCTTTTCCACAAGCCTTCCTCTGGGTCTATGTGTCTCGGGCGTGTGTGGTGTTTATCGTGACTTTGCCTCCCTCTCTCTCATGCGGTGATTTTCTACGCAAGCAAATAAAATTGGTTCGTAACATAAAGCCTCGCTCCGTAACACTATCGGAAGACCATCTCCTGGAACTTAGCTAAAGTGATTTCATCTTCCCAGTAGCAAAAGGACCTTATTATAAGCAGTTTCGTTTCTAACGCGGTCAACTTAACCTAGATCCTTAGGAGCAGCGTGAGAAAAACTCTCCGGTGTAATGAACTTGCGTTTTAAGCTATTTGATCAAAATTAATCAGAAAGCGCTTTACTTCTTTTCCACTCTCTCTTTTGTGGAGTCTCGGCATATTTACGCTGTTCTATTTATTTGCTGAAAATTAACCTGAAAACGTTTTTGGCTTATTAGGCAGTGGAGTTCTGGTTCTCTTTCAGTTGAGAATTCCTCTTTGATATGTCTGTATGGAAGAGAGAGAAAAGCTGTCCTACCTTTAATCAAAGTCTAGGGGCTGAATGAACTTGACTTGAAAAAAACCTTTTAGTTAAATTTCTCTCTGCTAATATCATACTTCTAATAACTAAAACTTTTCGTGAACTCAAATGCCACCTGATACAGATGTTGAGGATGGGCAAATCATGGTAAATTCAAATTCAAACAGCACGTGTCCATCAACTCCCCCGCACACAAAAATCCTGTCCACCCTAGCACTGCCCCCATGCAGTTACAAACAGGAATTTTAAGCCTTCGTAGCCAGTGGTGGAAATTACTAGCAATCAGGACTTTGGACATAATGATGCCAAAAGGAGAGATAAGGGCGTGATACCCTGTGCTCACACTGTTTTCCTGGAAGTCCTGACTTTGACCGTAAAGGAACACACTCAGCCCTGCCCACACCTGAATCACCTAAATTCCGTCTTAACCTTTTTTAAATAAATGTGTGTCAAATTAACGTTTTCCCTATTTTTAAATGTTTATTTACAATCTCATTTTTGACAGAGAGTGAAAGAGAGATAGCGAGCACAAGCGGGAGAGGGGCAAAGAGAGGGAGACACAGAATCGGAAGCAGGCTCGCAGCTCTGAGCTGTCAGCCCAGAGCCTGACACGGGGCTCCAACTCACTAGCCATAACATCCTGACCTGAGCCAAGGTTGGACGCTTAACCGACTGAGCCACCCAGGTGCCCGTTAATGTTTCTGATCCAACTCACAGGTAAACTCAGCTGACATTTACAAACAACAGCCATGTTCAAGATACGACGATGAGTTCAAAGTCTGTTTTGAGATTGAGATTCTGAGTTTGGCATAGGTGGATCTTGAGAAACTTAACAGAAGACCATGGGTGGGGGAGGGGAAGGGGGAAGAAAAGTTACAGAGAGGGAGGGAGGCAAACCATAAGAGACTCTTGGATACTGAGAACAAACTGGGGGTTGATGGGGGGTGGGGGAGAGGGGAAAGTGGGTGATGGGCATTGAGGAGGGCACCTGTGGGGATGAGCACTGAGTGTTGTATGGAAACCAATTTGTCAATAAATTATATTTAAAAAAAAAAGAAATTTTGAGTTTGAAATCGGAATCATGTCCAAAAGTAGTGCCAACAGGGACCATTCCCAAGCCAGCTTACGAAAAACTTTTAATTCAGAAATTTGTGAGATACAAAACTGACGGTTCTAAAGAACCTAATCACCACGTGTAACAAGTGTTTGCATGGGAAAAATTTTCACCATTCTCCAGATTTAACATCTGGGATATCAGCAGCTTAAATTTTTTTAAATGTTTGTTTATTTTTGAGAGAGTGAGAGAAAGAGAGAGAACTGGCACGGAGGGGCAGAGGCGGGGTGGACAGAGGATCCAAAGCAGGCTCCGTGCTGACAGCAGTGAGCCCGATGTGGGGCTCGAACTCATGAATCATGAGATCCTGACCTGAGCCAACAGATGCTCAACCGACTGAGCCACCCAGGCAGCCCAAAC